TCTCTCTCTCTCTCTCTCTCTCTCTCTCTCTCTCTCTCTCTCTCTCTCTCTCTCTCTCTCTCTCTCTCTCTCTCCTCTCTTTGTGTGCAAGTATGCTTGTGTCTTGAAGGAAGAAATGGTAATCTTTAATGTACCTTCTGTGGGTAAGAAGAGTATGGACAATATTGTTGATCTATGATGATGGGGTTGGCCACATTGTTCATCACAATATCTTCATAAGTGAAATTGGAGGCAGAACAGCTGGCTGATGAAACTGCCCAAGTCATGATCCTCAAGCCATTGGTAGTGTCTGAGATGGTGCAATTCTCCACATGGATCCCTTGCACGTCCTCCTCCTTAGGGAATTTGCCCAAGCTAACACCGAATTTCCATGAGCCTCAATTTAGTTTTCATTTAGTGTGTGTTAAGTTTATAGAAAAAAGTTTCAAGGTTTCCAAAGTATGTAATTTTTTTTTTTTTCTTCTTTTTCTTTTAAAATTATGATTCCTTTCCTATTTTCAATTTTCATGGTTTAAATCCCTTCGTAAAACCTCTTCAATCCTTGTAAGATAAATGTTAAAAACAAGATGCCATAGTTCACCTAATTCCATGTCCTGGTCCACAAAACACGTTCTTCACAGTTACTTGTGTGCTACCAGGACCAAAGGAGATGCAATCATCTCCAGTTCCATTGCTATGAGAAAACATTCCTAACTCTCAATGAATACTAAGCTTGCCAATTAAAAACATGCTGGTCTTTTACTTTTTGGAATACGATCCAGTCTTCTTGACAGAAAACTCTTTTATTTAAGGGAAATTAGAAGAAAAAAAATTGTTTTTTCATTATTGGAACTCAAAAATAGTTCCTCATTTTGTGTTAGCCTGTCACCTTCTCTCTCTTCCCTTCCTCTCCAACTGCTTTTGTTTTTGTTCTCTCTCTGTTAAGCTGATTTAGTTATTTTAACTTTTTAATCTCATGTGAGCCCACCATTGATTCCGTTCTGTTATTGGGTGTGGGATTTAACAGCCCATCTATCGTGTAAGGTAAGCCACGTTTCTCCGAAAACTAAAACTAAAAGTGATGAGCACATATAGTATGCTCTTGCGATAGCATACTGTGCACCTATTCCCTCATTCAAAAAAACCTATTGAGGAAGATTTTATTTCTAAAATTTTTGGGAATCACACAAGAATTACAGGTTGATTACTTTTATATGAAAAATATTTGAATTTTGAGACACTTAGATCTAGCCCTTCAAAAATTGGATAGCTATTCAATCCTAAGGCATTAGTATTTTTTTAGTACATAGAGAATTTATTTTAGAAATTATTTTTATATTATGGAGATTAATCTATTTGTTATTGAGATTACATTCCCAAAGAATATCCTTAGCATGTGTTTTTACCCGAGGTAGTAAATGAATAGTGTACTCCAGTTGGAATACGAAATCATTTAAGCAGGGACCTTGCCTCTTTTTTATTAAACGTATCTCTCGAATTTGAAAAAGTTGCTTCTCTCATTAAAACTCTTTCATCGCATATCTCTCATCTCTGAAATCTGAAAAGGGCATCCCACCTTAAAGCTCACGCACCTTCATTTTTATTCATCTCTCTATAATCGAATATGCAATTTTAAAATTAAGAATTTATTTTGGTGATTAATATTTCGTACACGTGCATATGTTTAGGTGCAATCTTCCCGCATTATCACACGATTCTAAGGTCTTATTGTAGGGTGGCAACTTGTTAGCGTTCGAAATGGCCTGTGATTGCAACTTATCAAATACATGATGATAGCAGGGTTTTATTCCCGATTTACTCGATTTTGAAATAGTACAAATATTGTGTGGGTTCCAATTTTGTATTGACGTCTTATTTCATAGAGAGTAGGTGGGTTCAGTCCTAATTGATTAAAGGGAACGAAAGAGCCTAATGTGTATATCAATATCTGTATTCATTAAACAAAGCAAAAAGTTTATATAAGGTTGCAATTTTAAAATGTAGAATTATATATGCACCTCAAAAATCTATCGGAAATGTTACTTCAATATTGAAACCTCTAATTGATCATCTCGACATCGTAAAAATATGAAAAAAAAAATTTGAGTCGACTGTCCATTTTCAAGATTTTCATATGTTTATAGATCTACTTGATTGTAACTATTTTTGGAGCTTAAAATTTTTTAATTAAATATAAAAATAGGTTTTCAGATAATCCTGAGAATTTTTTTCAACAATTCACGTTTCCAGGTGCAAAACGCAAAATCGCATCTCCTACACCTTTTGCTTGTGCGCAAATATGCTTTCCACATTTACACTCTGCATGGTAATTTTGTCAAAAGAGCAAAATGATCAAAAGTATCGTTACCGAATTTGTGAAAATGACCATTTGGTGACTTATTTCATGAATTGATGTAAAATGTTAAAACAATTTGAGTATTATGAACAAATGAATGCCTCAATATAAAGACCCACCTTCCATTCCCACCATTAACATATAAAAAAGACAAAATAGTCACATGTCTTTGTTTGAACAAGAGCTACACTTTATATAAAGACTCTCATGTGAGGAAACATGATGAGGTAGCCTGGAAATGTTCTTTTACTAAGGTTTTTTAACAAACAAGGCATTCTCAAATCTAAATTGTCAATATAAATTATTTAATATTATATTTTATCCATACCAATGAAGCTGAAGGGTAAGTTCTATAGGGCTGCTGTGAGACCAGCTTTGCTTTATGGAACGACTTGTTGGGCGGTCAAAAAAACAATATACCCATAAAATGAGTATAGTAGAGATGAGGATGTCGAGATGGATGAGTGGCAAGACAAGAAGGGATAAAATTCAAAATGAATCCATTAAAGAAAATTTAGGCGTGGCACCAATAGGCAAAAGATGAGAGAGAGTAGACTTAGGTACGTTGGCCATGTGTGACGCCGACCCAGTACATCACCTATTATGAGGTTCGGGTTAGTTCAAGTGAAAGTATTGAAAATGGCAAGGGACAATCCCAAAAGGACATGGTTGGAATGAGTATGAAAAGATATGGGGACTTTTGGCCTCAATGAAGGTATGACATTTAATAGAGCAGACTGACGGACAAGGACTCATGTATCTGACCCCAATTAATTGGAAAAATCCTATGATGATGATTAAGACCTGAATCCAGATGGAATCCAAATTCGGGCTTCAGATCCAAACTAGATAAACTCTCAACCCAAAGGTGTAATGTGTTCAAACTTCAAACCCCCTATGGACCGGAGGAATTATTAAATTTGACTCATCAAATGTCATTTGCTAGTGCAAGAAGATGCACAAGGGATTTGGAGTCCTATGGTGGATAAAAAATTTCAACTTATTAGAAATCGAGAGGTAATGGATCGAAAAGAAAGAAAGAAATAAGCAAGTTGATGAACTTGCAAGTTGGGGCAGCCAGGGATTCTCTTCTAGTTGAGACTCAGAATGGGGGTATTTAGATAATTGCCTTGATGTCTGTGGGTATACGGAAGGACCATGATGTGGAGTAGACCAAGAGATTACAATACCAACATAATTTTGTTTGTGTTTTCTTCAATGTAAATTGTGTTTACGGTTTCTTGGGTTCTTTCCTGTAAAAGTGTGCACCTCTCTCGTTTTACAGATGCATAAATTAATCAATTATACCTAAATTAATGAAAATTCATTGAATTTCATAACAAATATTAGAATAATTACTATCAAACTGTAGAAATAACTGGATAAATTTTCTATCAATGTATTTTCTATCTAAAAATAAACTCAAACTACCGACACAAAATTAAATTAAAATAATGATCATGTACCAGGTATTATAGGGGAAGAAGGCGAGAGTAAGCAGCAAAAATTAGAGATTTTCCTCTACGTCAGTAATCTCTTTCTTCTGATTGAGATTTGAAGAGAGAGAAAGAAAATCCATGTTTCGTGGCGTGCAATCTCTCAAGCATATCGGCTACCATACCGTGTAAATATTGGCTCATTGGAGCTTTCATTTCACAATTATATCTCTGGCTTTTATGCAAGGAAAATATCAGCACAAGGCTTAAAAATTGTACTTTCAATTCTTAACGATCTTGAAATTTGAGGATTTGAAGGAAAAGAAAATAAAAAACTTTAATTGATAAATATTGTACCTTATAATACATTATCTAGAGTCTAGACAATCTACTTTTATAGGGATTGTCTATAAAGAAACCGTTTATCTTTGGTACATGGAGGTCACAATCATTCTTATCCCTTAAATTTCAAAATGGGTAGTTGTAAGAGTGCCGTTGAATAGACACAATGTTTTAAATTAAAAATTCTCTGACTTTGTGACTCAGCCCAAACCATCCAATTTGACATCTAATGAATGAGAATGATTGTGACCTCTATATACAAAAGATAAATTGCCTATTTACAGACAATTCCCTTTTTAAGTGTTCACCTATGCTTCGGAACCCAAAAATGGTTCTCCTTGTCACATCATTTATGTGTTAGTCGAGAAATGTTTTTCACAAATTTAGCTAATTGATTAATTTTTTCTAATGTAGGTAAAAAAGATAAAACTAGAAGGACCAAGAAAATAAAATAAAAATAAATTTATAGAAAATCTCTTTGGGTTTACATGGGAATTTATCCCAAAAACAATTTCACAAGATCAACAAATGATTTTATTTATTTTTGTTCAATACTATATTACTGTATATATAATAGAAGAACCTTAAGACCTAACTTGCTTCTTAAGAAATCCGAATTACAATTAAGTGTCATCCCTAGTCTATTTAAAATTATCGTTCCACCCCTCAATGTTGTACAATAAAAAAAAAGGAACAGAGACCGCAATGTGAAAAAATTAAAACCGGGTCCAAGAAGACCCGAACCCGGACAGTGGTCGAGGCAGCGTGAGGGTTGCCCCGAGGTGTGGCTCGAGTGGATGGATCACCAGCTTTGGTGCGTGTGTGGGAGGTGGCAGCCTTAGGGCCTCCTCCTCGATGTGTCAAGCCTGTTGTTGCAAGGGTGTGATGTGATAGAGACTGGGGGCTGGCCTTACAGCGACCCGCAGGATAACTGACAGTTGGGTTGCCATTTGCAAGAAAGGAAGGCACGGCTTTTCGGCTACCCCCAACAGTGGGACTAACAAGTGACTTACCAGTAGCTGGGTGCATGCGGTCTGTGGTGGCTAGTGCGCCACCCATGCAAGGTACATTGGTGGAGGGTCCACCAAGGCTAGGAGTTGGGGAGTAAGGGACTTTTAGATCCCTCTTCACACCAATCCAGGTGAGGGCCTAGGAGCTTGACACTGGGTCAACACTCAGAAAGAAGGTTGGGAACGAGTTTCGTGGAACCTTTTCTTGAGGAAGACTCACAAGTGTGGGGATTAGAAAATCCCGGATTCTCATAAAGGGGATTAATTGATCCATGTGGTCTATATACAAAATAATAGATGTTTTTAATGGCCACATGATGAAGGAATCAAAAGCCTTTGGTAACAATTGATGCAGGCCAGGAAAACATAAAATAAAAATAAAAATAAAAAACAAAGTTGACAAAACATAACCTCTCTTTGGGCATGTAGGGAACCCTACCATCATAAATCCAATAATCAATTATTCTTTTTCTTTATCTTTTTTTGCTCAACGTTTGCATATTTATAGTAGAAAAACCCTAAGACACTGTTCTTAACAAATTGTAATCACAATTTAATTTCAGCCCTTGATCTACTTAAAATTAGACTTCTAACTCAAGCCGTTAGTTCTCTAAATAAGCAAAGATACAAATACCCTATGAGAAAATGACACAGAAGCAGTTACAAATTTTAATTTTATTATTGCAATTTTTATTTTTAGAAGTTAGGGGAGCTTTTTTATTATTTTTGTTTTATTAGGAGCAATTTTTAGAAATAAGGTTATTAGGGTTTTCTTTTAATTTTGATTGATAAAGTTATATTTTAGAAAATATATTTTCTTAGAAAAGATAAATCTTTTTTGTCGTTGTCTAGGGTGCGTATTATCTTTCATTCTTTTTGTATAGTTCATTATAGAAAGTTTATCTTGTTTTTGGAAGTTGGGTTTAGAGATAAATATTGACGTCTTTTTTTGTTTAGGAGAAGTTTAGGTTGGTTTTATTTGTTAAAGCCAAATCATCTTTTGAATTAGAAGAATAAGTTGGATATATAGGCAAAGGAGTTCGTTTGATTTCTTTAAGAACGAGAGTTGCAACTATTTGAAAGAAAGGAGGAGAGTAGTGCTCATGGTTAAGAACAGGAAATATTGGTTTAATAGGGGTGAGTATCTTATTTAGAAAGTTTGATAGAGGATATAATGGGAAGAGAAGAGGTTAGCGGGTTTTTGTTTTTGTTACCAAGTCTTTTCTTTTAGAAATATAGGACTTTTTATAAAAAAAGGATGTACACAATTGTAATGGGAGATTGAATTTTATGGAATAAACATAGTATTCTCCCATTGTGGGCCTTGTTTCATCTTTTGTGTTTATGGACCCGTGCCAGACCTGTATCAGCATGGTTTTTTCTTTTTTTTTGAGATTTTCTTCACGATTTTATTTTTCTCTCTTAAACGTGGCTATCTTTGCCGGTAAATTTTATATTGCGTCATAAAAGAATAAAAGAGTAAATCAACGTAACCTATTCTAGGCTGCAGGAAGAAAATAAAAATAAAAATAAAAACCTTAACTACAATATTTTTTCTATTGAGAAATTTGTTTAAATTAAAAGATGAAGTTGTTTAATTAATTCTAATTGAAATTTACATTCCCTCTTCTCTATAGCGATATATGAGAAATGGATGCTATCGGCACCACAGCAGTGGCATCAAACTTTGGACCTAATAGGTCGGCCCCATGACCTTTTAGATTTGAGGATCCCCATTGGCAACAACTACAGCAGAGCAAGTATTCACATATCCACAAGATCTATATCATTTTTTGAGCTAAAAATTTTATAATGTTTAGAGCCATCTTAGGGATTTCCCATGCTCAAATTATTTTTGAGACAAGATTTGAAGATGATTGCTTTACTTTTTTATAAATCCTAGGTCTTGTTGAAATTGCACAAATTACTTCGCAATACTCTTTTCAAAATATTTGATATGACAAAAGAAAAAGCAACACTGCTGGGAGGACATTTTGTTGTTTTCTAATGTCAATACCGCATTCACATGCTAATATTCTAAAGGAAAATGTCAATCGCATTGGCATGTGTATAATCGTGGCCTAATTGAATGGTTATAGTCGGAAACTTGCACCATGATTTGTTTTTTACCTAAGGGATTGTCCACAAATAAACCATTTATCTTTTGTACATAGAGGTCACAATCATTCTCACTCATTAGATGTCATATTAGATGGTTTGGGGTGAGTCATAAAATCCAAGAATTTTTTTTTTGACTCAATTCAATGAAGTGATATTTTTGCCTCTAAGGTAGGATCATTTTTTGGGTCCACATGGGACTCAAATTCGTGCATTTAGTGAGCAGTATATTATTTGTAATGCTCCATTCCCTTGTCTTATAAGGATTAATCAGTCAGTTTTTAAAATTCTATAAGACGATGAAATCCATTGGTTTTTGGCCCTTGGCCAATTGAGAATTTGATGGAATTTTGTGGCCCTGCGGGTCCACCATTCTACATCCCTTGTTGGTTCCTCTATTATCAAGGAATTCTGTATGGGCTTTGGACTCATCCAATTGCGTAGAGAATTTTGGATGAGTCAAAGAGCATCTCAGAATCAAGGTTTGTATGTCGCATAGAAGAGAGATGCAGCTTTTGATTTTGGTGAAAACAAAGCAAAGAAGCTCAGTTCCTCTCAAAGAAACAAGTTATGCTATATTTGTAAATTCACATTTTATGTTATATTTGATTTTTATGAGTTGAGTAGATAACGCAATTTTTTATAGTTTTTTTAGGTGAATCAGTGGGGATGATGGTCCCCTACCCGTTTTATTGAAATTGAAAAACAAGTTACACAGATGACGCACAATTTTTCACTCACATAAAAATATTCAATTCTGATCATGTGAGGGAAGGCATCAAGCTGATAAAGAGAATGAAGCATCCTCCTTCCAATAATGTTTAAAACCAATAGAAAGAGTGAGGATGGATTCTAGATGCAAGTTGGTGGTATTTGTATCCCAGTAGAGACCCCTTTTACATTGGTACACGAGGCCGTCGAAGCTTCCCCTTGTCCATTGTACTCCAATTTGATGTCATCAAGCTGAACATTTTGGCACGGGAAAGCCTCACTGCACAATAGATTTACTGCAATTTTGGAAGCAGAGGTTCCTCTTATATTCTTGAAACTTATATCGTTGATCTTGACTCGAGAGGGACCCTGCAAAAAAAGCATGAGAAGGTTTGTTAAAAATCAGTTCTTCAGTGAATCTCAATGTATCGAACTCCATGGATGAATCAAAACCTCTATCTCACACACACACTCAATGCATGAGTGCTCTTGCATTGCAAAGCCTTATGCAAGAAGTGGTACTCTTTAATGCTTTACCTTTTGTGGGCAAGAAGAGTAAGGGCAATATTGCTGATCTATGATGATGGGGTTGGCCACGTTGTTCATCACGATGTCTTCATATGTGAAATTGGAGGCCGAGCTGCTGTCTGAGCCTGCCCATGTCTTGATCCTCAGACCATTGGTGGTGTCTGAGATGGTGCAATTCTCCACATGAAGCCCTTGCACACCCTCCTCCTTGGAGAACTTGCCCAAGCTTCCAACACTAAAATTTATGAAGATATTTCAATGAGGCTCAATTTATTTTCATTTAACTTGAAAATGTCAGTTTAAAAATTCTTTTGTGTGTGTCGATTTTAAAAACAAAAAGAAAGTTTCAAGTTTGCCAAAGTAAGTAAGAGCCTAGATGTAATTATTTCTTTTTCTATCTCCTAATTCTTTAAAATTTGGATTCCTTTCCTCTTTCCAATTTTCAAGGTATAAATTCCTTAATAAACCTTTTAATCCTGTTAAGATAAATGTTAAAAATAAGATGTCATAGCTCACCTAATGCCATGTCCTGGTCCACAAAACACGTTCTTCACGGTTACTTGGGTGCTTCCAGGCCCAAGGGAAATGCAATCATCACCGGTTCCAATGTGAGATCTTGAGATCGTGATATTGGAAGATGATCCGACATGGATGCCATCAGTGTTGGGGCTGTCAGCTGGCGCTGAGATTTTGATGGATTGGACATTCAAGTTCTTGCACCCAAATAATAACATATGAAAGAGCTTGCTATCCACTGAATGTATGCCCCTTATCTCCCCGTTTGTAATGAAATTGAATTTCAATGACTGCAGAAGTTTCAATTATCATGAGAAAACATTCATAATTCTCAATGAATTGTAACCTTGACAATTAGAAAATTTGTTGGTCTTTTTTTCTTTTTTTTTTTTGCGCCCTAATACAAGGTTGAAACGACAAATTTCCCTTCAACTAAACATAAGACTACATCCAAGAATGCTATAAGTTATGTAGTTACAGTAAGTCTTCTAACCTAGAACAGTCTTATAAATGAGAATAGGATGGAGGAGGGAGATCATTTGTACCGTAGGGAGAAGTTTGCAGTGGGCTTTCTTAGGACACTGGTTGAGGCGCCATGCAGATGCTCCCTGGCCGTCAAACGTCCCTCCCCCAGTTACCACGAGGCCATCTACATACTGGAACACGATCCATTCGTCGGAAGGGTATTTGCTCATATCTGTCAAAGCCTTCACTTTGCCCTTCACTTGTACAACCATGGGTGAGGCACTGGGGCACGGACCCTTGAATAGGACTGGACCGACAAGGAACGTTCCTTCAGGGATCAAAAGGCGTGATGGCCCTTTCCACTCGCATGCAGCCTTCCACGCTGCTCCGAAAGCCTGAAAAACTTTCAAGCCACTATAAGCCAACTAACTTGAGGTTTGGAAAATGTAAACATTGGTATGTTGTTGCAATGGATGAACAGTTTCTGTTGTGTAAATCAAAATCTCATTTTGTTTTCATAACCTTAAAAATGCTTTTTATATTTCATATTTTACACTCAAGTCCAATTTTTTAAGAGTGCATATTGTTATTTTACAGTGTTGGATTACTCAGACAAGCCAACTCGGATGCCCGAGTAACTCGGACTTGCCACCCTAGCGAGCCCGAGTATCTCTGACTTGGATGGTCCAACTTAGGGATCTAAAAAAAAAAAAAGAATTCAAAACATAAGAAATTTATGTGTAATATATTCTTTTATGTTTTTTATCATTTTGATAAATAATGAATACTTATATTTACATTTTTCCTTCTTTTTGGATTATTTCTAAATACCCCCCATCACAAATTGATTTTTTGAAAATCCCTTTTTTTCACTACTCTTTTAACCCCAGTTAGATGTGTTTTATTTAATTTTACTTTAAACATATTTTCTTATTTTTGGAAATTTTTTATTTTTAGCATTTTTTTGCCTTGGCCAGAACTCGGCCCAACCCAAGATGAGTTACTCAAACTCAGGTTTGATTATTCAGCTCGGGCCTGGGTTGAGTACCTGGCCCGAGTCAATCTTTCCAAGACTGGTATTTTAATCTACATATAATTAAGTTGTATTAGGTTTGATATGGTTTACCTCGCTGTTGTCCGTGGTTCCATCAGCAATGGCACCAAATTGCATCACATTGAACTCTCCAGCTGAAGAAGAGTTGCCATTTGCTGCCTCTACAGCAGCCACATATGCTATTGCTATGAAAACAACGTAACAAAGCAATGCCCATGCTTTGGAGTTGTTTTTGGAGAAACCCATTCTTATTTTCTTTAGTTGTAGCTATTAATGAGAGAGAGAGATGATTTGATGAAGTTGATTGATAGGTTAATGGATATTTATTGTGATGTAATTGTTTTACAGTTACAACTTCTCAACTCCTCTCCTCATTTTGTGTTAGCCTGCCACCTTCTCTCTCTTCCCTTCATCTCCAACTGATTTTGTTTCTCTCTCTTTCTCTTCGTCTGATCAGTTATTTAAGTATTTAATCTCATCATTGTTCCCGTCCTATTATTGGGTATGGGATTTAACAACGCTTCTCTCATGTAAGATAAGCCACACTCCTTTGCAACTAAAACTAAAACCAAAACCAAAACCGGTTAAGTTTTAGTGGAACCTCCCCACATTTGTATGGTGGCAACTTGTTAGCCTTCGAAATGACCCGCGGTTGCAACTCATTACGCCCCTCTTAGCGGGGTTTTAGTTCCTGTTGATTCGGATAGGGAATAGTCGATTTAGATCTAATTTGGTTCCATGAGTTGGGTGATTTAGATCAAGAATTGACGATCCAAATCGGATCTGATTTGTTTTGAATAAGGTCATTTCAAAGAGATAATGTAGGTCTAGTTCTAATTTACTGCAGCGAAAGAAAGAGTCTAGTTTTATAGAAAAACCCTCCCCACCATTATTTTCAACAATTAAATGAAAGAGAACTTATGCAGAGCATCGATGTTTTAATTTAGAAATTAAAAAATGAAACACCACTGCATTTAATGGTTGTTTGGCCACCGTTAAGATGAGACAATTAACAATAAAAATATACGTTTCTTCGGGGAAATCACAACAATTACTCATATTTCTTTGTTGGGTGCGGTTTGTATAAAGCCGAGGCTCTTAACAATCAAAGTAAAGCGAATCATCAAATAGTGTCAAGAAATGTGGTTTCAATACTAAAAATCTTAGTGACAGCCTTAAAATATATTTTCATCTCTAATTATAAAATTTAAAGCTTCAAAAATAGTGTAGATCGAGTCGATCTATGAAAACTTGAAAATCTTGAAAATTGATGGTCCAAAATGCATTACAAGATGCACTATTTCCAAAACTTGAAATCCTTTTTTTTTTCTCATGTCCATACATCTTGAAGTCGAGATGATCAATTCGATGATATTTAACATCAAAATAAAAATTTTAAGATGTGCCCTAATTTGATTGTTTAGAACCTCGTACTTATTATATAAGCGTTTTCCTTCTTTGTTTGACTGGCACCTATACACTTTACATATAGATATCAAACCCCTTATTCAAGTCACGAGTTAATAAAAATTTTGGTTCTCTCTTGAGTTCTAGTCTTCCTAAAAGAATCCGCAAATGTTTTTTTAGGGGTAATTCAGTGGGAAAGACATGCCCTTTCCCGTTTTTTCAAGTAAATTAGAAATTTTAGAGGTAATTCAATGGACCCGTTTTTTCAAGTAAATTATAAATTTTTAGGGGTAATTTCGTTTGGAAAACATGCCCTTACCCGTTTTTTCAAGTAGATTAGGAATTAGTTTTTTTAAGATATTAGTAGGGTGGTGTTAGCGGTGGGAAAGGAAACCACAATGTGGTGACTAGGTGAAATGTGCTACCATCATGACACAAGCCCGGTTCCCAAAAGAAAAAGCAATTCGCTACTACTTCCTAGATCATGTTATTTGCATTGAAAGAGTAAGAGTTTATATGGAAGCATCTACGCAACGCCTATAGATGAAATGTGACAGTGATTTCGTCCATATGCCAATCATTGTCCAAAAAAATTGGAGGGCGTATGTTTTCGACCGCCACGGACCTAGCATGTCTGTGGCAGGTCGGGTACTATCATGGATATATGAGGTTCATGGCAGTCAAAAAATTCATGCAGAGTCGTAACGGATGGCGCCGTCCATTATTGGTCTGTTCAATAAACCACCACAGACATAGCAAGTCCGTAGCAAAGGCAAAACACTGTAGCATTTTACCTATAGGTGTTTTTTAGGTTTTTTCTCTTTGTTTTGTTGTTTTTGAAGGATAAATTGAACTCTTGGGTGGGGGAAAATCCAATCTCGAGAAAGAATCATCAAAACCAAATATCCTTATTTCCCTTTGTGCATTCGCAGTTGTCTCTCCAGTCTTCAATAATGAAATTCTCTCTCTACAATATAGTTTTATAGTCGTCTTCAGCAACATAGTTACCCCTATGCCGGTGTTCCTTTACTTGAACTGAACTCGAAAACCGGCCAAGGCCCAAGTCTGAGTAATCGGTAGTTCACCCGGCCTAATCGACCAGGTCCCAGCAGGGTAAAAAGGTATTAAAAATACAAAATAAATTTAAAAAAATATAAAAAATACATTTAAAACATGATTAAACAAACCACATC